AGTTTCCTTATCCCAGATTTTTTAATATTAATGAAATCATAGTTCTAGTCCTTACCCCAATTGGCAACAAGTTAATTTAATTAATAGGAAGTTCTCTTGTGACATTCAAAGACCTCTTAAAATGAATTATGTTTATCAGTCTTTTTATTATTTTTAATATCTATTAGTTAACAATATTTATTGAATACCCCATAAGTTGCTTTAAAAGATATGGTTACCTAAATATTGCTAGTGACTCAGTTCTTTTTTTTTTTTTTTTTTGTTAATAAAACGGTAAGAGGGGAACAGATTTCTGGCGGTATGCTCAGGAAAAAAGTAGGTTGCCATTTGTCCAGTATATTGGAGAGAGGATCCATTTACAGGAAGGGTTAAATTAGAAAGGCCCTCTTGGGTCCCTTCCAACTCTGAGACTCTGTGGTTCTGTGAAAATATCCTTTCTCTTTTTATCATTTTCTCAAGAATGGCTGAGCTTCTGTTTTTCTTTCCCCCTGACTCCCAGGCCAGCAGCAGAATTTGGAGACAGGTTGGAAAGAGTAAAGGAACCCATGTTTTAGGAAAGTAGGGCTGCCATGGATGCATTTTTCCTAATTCCTGAAATGGTTTGTTGACTCTTTTTGCATAGATATAGAAGCCAGTGACTAGTTGCCAGATTTTATTTTAGAGAAGACAGTATCTATTCTGTTGGGTGGGAAATTAGAAACAATAGAACATGAAAGTTTTGAGTGCTAACAGAAGGTATCAGCATCTCTGTGGGTTCAAAGGCATATCTCTCCCTGGTCTAAATTCCTGTGGCACCAGCAATCTGCAGCATGCATTATAAGATCTGATCACTAACAGTCTCATATTCTGTTATTTTAGGTATTTACATCATATCTCCCCAATTAGATTATAAGCTCCTAGAGAAGATGTACTTTATCTTTGAATCACTCACAGCAAGTAACACAGCAGGGCATAGCACTAGGTGCTTAATAATTACTAACTTGAATTGTCTTAATTATTAAATGCATTCAAACCGATAAAAAAAAATGAGACAGCTGTCCCTGCACACTGAAATACAGGCTAACCCCCCCCCCCCCCACACACACACACGCAGAATTCTGGGATAGTATCTCCTCTGTTATTACTGTGTACAATTTTAGATACACAAGGTAAATTTACATGCTCCTCTGCTTTCCAACAACTTGCAAGGAGGAATAAGCAAAGTTTCCAGAGAATGAGGATTTCAGAGGTATTCAAAGGTTAATAAAAGTATCATTAAAATAGAATTTTTTCTCATTATTTTTATTATGGTTTTAGTTTTCTTACAAAAATTGTGTGTCCTTTAATTATCTGTTACTGGTTTTTCTCACCAAATAATTTTAAGATTTTTAGAGTGTTAATTTTGTGCCTCTTGAGGTATTTAAGCAGTCATCTAGCACTGTGGCCCGCTAACTTCATTCATTAGAGAAGCTCAAGTTTATAGTTTACTCTGCTCTAGAGTCACAATTGATCACAAGGGTGATTGTATCACCAAAACTTCACTACCACTAAGAAAAAAACAATTGCTGCACATGGGATTTTTTTCCTCATAAACAAAGCTTTTTAAAAATACATTATATTATTGCCACAGATAGAAAACATAAAAAATATAGTCTTGATAATATTACAGAATTGTTTCTTTTCCACTTAAATATAGACAAGGTTTGTAATTTCCTCTTTTTGCTATTACATCTCATTCTTAAAAAAAAAAGAAATGCTGTGCAAAAAAAGAAAACCTTAAAAACTCTAAAAATACATAAGAGAAAAGTACAAAATATAAAATTAAAAGAATATTCTCCTTTCTATTTCTCCCCCACCCCATTACCAGCTCAAAAACAGGACAAATGGGTGTAATGGAAGAAACAAACCAGCAAATGCTTTACCTAATTAAAGACATCTGAGAATTCTTTGACAGCCTTAAAACTTTCCTTAATAATGAGTGCCCTTCCCCAAAGCTAATGACTTTAAATTGTGAATTTGTTAGTGTTGGGCTACAAAACTGCTTAGTTAAATATTTGTTATTAAAATTGTTTTGATAAAACAGGGTACAGGGACAAGGATTCAGATCCTTTAAATTTTAAAGAAGCCAAGACAGAGACTGCTTACCCCACCCCCTTGTCTATCATCTCAACACTGAGATGCAGTGAAATTCAGATTTTTTTTATTTTAAAGGAAAAATTGTCCCATTTCATATTCCACTTTCAAGTGAATCAGAATTCTATACATCACAGCATATGCTATTTGATATGCCCACCAATATTTTTGTAAATAAATAACTTTGCATAGGAAAACAATCGGGTTTATAATTCCTCTGAAATTCCTCTGATTAGGAGGACTTTTCAAAACTGAGGCTTTACCCCTACAAAGCCTTCTTTTGAACCATGGATATTTCTTAGTTTATAATTTTATCATACATGATGATAGAATGATCTTACACTATGACCTTTGAAAAGTGGAAAATAATATTCAATAAAAGCAATTGCTGAATGACTTTAGAGGGTTGAGTCTCAACTTTAGCATTCATTTTGATACTTGTGACTTACTTAAGCCATAATTTATCTGAAACCCTCTCTACTCTTTTTAATAGATGATATGATCTCTGAAGTTTTTAAAGAATAGATTTCCATAATCTAAAGAGGAATATTAACCTGAAACCATTGATTACTGAAATTTACTAGTTAAAGTAACTCTAGAGGCCTATCTATAATAGTATACATTTCCAGAGAACTGTGTTTGCTCTCCGCACAAAAGATTAACTTCCTTAAAGTATTGCTTTTATAAAAAATCTGACAAATATTTTGTCCATAATTCTGCTAATTTATCATGTAGTTTCAGTACTTCTCATCTGGTTTTTATTACTAGAGATACGATATCTAAATGAAAACAAAGTCTTTGGGGTTTTTGAAAAGTTAGCTCCTGCTTCTTTTTTCCTATCTTAAATCATAATTCTATTATGACATCAGGATCATTTACAAGCAAAACATCTTTATTTCAAGGACAAGCAAAATAGGATGAACTTACTAAAAAAAAAGAGAGGGCACTGTTTTTATGAAGTTGTTCCCTAGTAAGGAAAATATAGAAAGCACGTGATATGGGTCATCTTTGGATCTTGTAATAGTGAATGCTTTCTATATTGGAAGTGCCTCATAAATATTTGTTAATTTGTATTACATAAATTCTCATAATCCACTATCAATAAACAGGCTGTCTTTTAAAACGAAATAAAAAGGCCATATTCAAACTTATTGGTGAGATCAGTAACGTTGTACTTTTCTATTATATTTGACTATCTATAAACAACTTATGATTAAATTGCTACTTCATTGTCTGTAATGGCTAATATCTGGCATAAAATATTAAAAATAAAAATAGATAATTCTCTCATTATTTTTAAGACATTGAAAATTCTAATTCTGAAGTGTTCAAATTTCGATATTCAACCCTTCTTATAATTGACCAGTTTTAATACTGTCTCACACAAGAAAATATGGTACTAGAATTTAACATTTAAAAGAGTGAGCATCTTCTTTGAAATCATATGCACTGGATCCTCCCTTTTCTCATCTTCTTGCCCAGCATGAATATAAACTTTAGGCACTCAAAGATATGCAGGTCAAAGTTCGCACATATGTTCCCCTGAATGAGTATGCAGCTTATTGGCTGTAGACCTTATGAGTAACAGGATCTCTAGGGCTATCAGTTCTGTTCAGATCCAAGGTCTAAATCTGGGAATAAAATTCAAGGATCTTAAATCAATACTTACAGGTTTAGGGGTTTCAACTGAAGCGATCCCAGGATCCTTTACTTAGACTATAGAAGGAATTCTTGCTACATCTAAGTGATAAACCATCTCCCAACCTAGCCCTCAGCTTTTGTTGAGTACATGCGGGGAAAATTACAAAGTAACCGGCCCGTTTAGACCCCCTCCCCCTTCCTCCCTCCCCGCAAAATGAGAAAAGTTGAATTGTTGAGCGTGACCAAAAAATTGGTCCGAACAATGGGATTTCTGAAAACTGTGCCGTATTGAAACAAGCTTTTCTGTTAGGGTCACTGAACCGCATCCACCTCGACTTTTTGCAAAACCAGAGAAGCAACTAAATATTGGGCAGAAATAAAAATTATAAGTTATTCTCAGCTGGTGAAATATTTTCCCTCTGAAATCGGGGAGCGGTGGTGGTGGTGGGAGAAGACGCATGGCTAGGTTTGGATACTGCTGCACCTCCTCTCTCTCTCCAGGTCCTGCTGCTTTAAAAGTGACCCACCCGGCAGCTATATGCAGCCGCCGCCGCCTCGGAGCCCCTCGGCTCCCTCTATTCCTGGCTCCCCCACCCCGCCCCCTCCCCACTTCCCCCACACAATGGCGCCTTCGGAGCTCCCGCTAGATGGGTTCTCCGGCTGTCTAGGGGGAAGCGTTATTCACCCTGGAAAAGCCGCACGCTCCTTTTCGCGCTGACTGGGCTTTCCAAAGGGAGATCAGCGCACAAAGGAAAGTGCGTAGGGCTGGTCCCCAGATCGTACGGCGCGCCGAGGCTCCAGAGGCTAGCGAGGAGGGAGCGAGCTATGAAGGCACCAGCGGGCTAATGCATGACCCATGTGCCCCAGGGCAGTGCTGTCCCCAGCCCCAAGGGGTTAGGTCATTGTATCGGAGCACATTCAAAGGCGTTCCCCGGCTTGGGCTTCAGCGGAGGCTGAATGCGCCCAGCCCCACGGGCTAAGCAGGGCATTATTCCGGAGGTGGTCGAGCCTTCAGTGGGAGAGGAAGGGGCGGGGGTGGAGAGAAAATGGTGTGTGTAGATGTGTGTCTGGGTGATTGTGTGGAGTGTGGCGTGTGTCTGGGTGTCCAGTTCTCTGGTGAAACACACAATCAAGCAAAGGCTGACATGACCAGATTTTGTGGAGAAGAGGAGGGGTGGGGGTAGGGTGGGGTGGGGTGGGGTGGGGAGAGCACGGTGGAAGGCGTGGAGAGGTGATATTGCACTTACTTTCTCTATGGTCCCAGGGAGCAGGCGGTCCAGCAGCCTGCAGAGGACCACCCCATCTTTCAGAGACGACTGCAAAAAGCCCTCCGGGTCCGAAATGGTTTTTTTGGGCGACTCCAGCACCCCCAAGGTAATCAGCCACGTAACGGTCTGTTCGGCGGAATTCATAGCTGCCAGAGGAAGAGAATCCGCAGGGAAAAGGGAGAGAAATTGCACACGGAGCCGCCCCCCCCCCCCCCCCCGCCTCTTTCTCTGTCGCCTTTTTTTTTTGGATCCCCCCCCTTTTTGCTTGTGGTTTCACATTGGAGCAGCAGCGGCTAGAGCTGCTGATCCCACCTCCTCCTCCTCCTCCTCCTCCTTCCCCATGTAGATGCAGATGATGACGATTGGCTTTGCGAAATCCAGTAGGTCCAGTTTCTCTCTCTCTCCCTCTCGTGCGTTTTGGCAGGCTGTCAAGTGCCTTTTCATTATATGCACATGAACCTGCAACAGCAGCAGCAACAGCCTGGCGCCTCCTCCTCCTCCTCCTCCTCCTCCTCCTTCTCTTCCAAGCCTTCCTTCAGCTGCTGTCGCCCAATGACATCACTGACAGGAGGAGAAGAAAAGAAGATGCCGTTTGCAACGAGCTCCACATCCTGTCATCATCTTAGCGTGTTCTAGCCATTAATACGAATGGCAGATGGATCCGCCCTGCATTAGGTGCCCGGGGCAAGGTTCGGTTATTGAACGCATACTGGCGTTCGCTTTTACGCACGTTTGAGCACGATACATATGCACAAATATGTGTCAATATACCTCTACAGAACCAATTTCTAAGGATTCATAAATTGATATACTGAATAAATTGCAAATGTAAAATATGCTCGTGGGATATAGCAATACACATAGCCACATGCTAAATATATTTATATACTCAGGTATATATTATTTAAAGTCTTTTTTGGTAAGCAACGTCTGACAGAAGTCCCTTTGACCTCTAGAGAAACTAGTTCATTTTCTGTTGCCGGTTGCAGCCTTTTATCATCGAACTGTACCAGTGAGATGTGCCCATGTGCACTTTCTTTTATACAATATGTTAACCATTTGCGCTTCTGCCTGGGCAATTTTAAGCAGACACCATCTGGAAGAGTCTTCCTTTACTCCTTTCATTCTCTTTCCTTATGGCTCACTCCTTTGCTTAAAAAGACGTACAGTTTTTCGATTTTTATGTGTGTTAGAAAAAACACACACACACACACACAACAACCAAAGATTTCCCACAATGCTCCCTCCTCCTTATATTTATGGCAGTTTTATTTTAAAAGATGTAAGTGGTGAGGAAGGGGGCCCCAAATACTTGGCATTCTCACTGTTACAAGTCAACAATCACGTAACATACGTTTTTGCTACGTTCGAAACTAGATGGGTCTAAAATGGGCAGGAGTGGGTTTCAGTAATGCTGTTTGTCCCTGTAAACGTGAACTGCAATCTAACTCTATACAGCTTGTGTCTCGTGTGCCCCCTAGTGGAGGGTTGGTTAATGCGGCTTGCTGGCAACTAAACGCCCCTTCAAAAGTCTCATCTCTGGTTTGTTCTAGGACAGAATAACTACTGGAAACTTGGTAGTTATTCCATTTTGAATTGAGAGATTCGATCCAAAAATTTAGGGGAAAAATTCGGAAATAGATATAAAGTAGATTTATTTTGTTTGATTGGCTGATTTCTTAAGTTGATCTGGGAGGAATGTCCCAGTTATCTCAGATCCAGTAGATATTTTTCTAGAAAGAACTTTAGGAGTAGTCATGGAGCATACAGCCCATGGTTAGCATGGGGCATAGTGGGGGTGGTCAGTTAGGAACCAGTATCATTTTTCTTTCTTTCATAGCCTTAGCTTCAAAACATTCAAAACCTTACTGCTATGTAAATGAAAAAAGCTTTTATTTAAGAAAAAGAAAGAAATGGCTAATGATGAAATAGAATATGCTGGCTAAAGCATTGGCTTTCCTTTGCTACATTTATTTCCACTCATTATGTCTACAGTCTGCCAATGTTTTCCTTGTTTGCTTTTTTGTGACTTTCCATAATGATAGTTTATGGAAGGGGCTGGAAAGCTATATAAGATTTTTAAATATCCAAAAGAATTTAACAATGTTCCCCCCTACCCCAACTTCTGCTTTCATTCAGTACCCCACTGTTGTAGGCAATTAATGCCATTATTCCTATATTTCCTGATTCAACTTCACCTCCTCTATTTCCTCTCCATTATTTTAATTCTCATTCACATTTGTATGTAAATACTCACTCAAAATAATGCCAGAAGCAGCTTGATTTTTTGGACAAAAATGGCAATAAATACCATGTTGTTTTCATATCAAGGCACCAAATCTGTTTTTATGTCCCTATGATCATACAAAGAGGCAGTGTGTCATAGTGAATACAGAATTGGCCCCAAAGCCAGGGAGACCTGGGTTCAAGTCCTGCCTTTGGGACATCCTGGTTGTTTAACCTTGGGCAAATCATTTAACCTTTCAGTACTGTAAGCAGCTCTCTGAAACCATAAGCTGCAAAGAAAGTCGCAACCTGAATTGATAGAGGGAACTTCTTCACCTGGGAATTCCCTATTCTAATGAAACCAATCAGTCAACTAGTATTTATTAAGCATCTACTATGTTCCAGGCTCATTGCTAAGTGTTGGGGATACAGAGAAAGGTAAAATATAGTCCCTGCTCTCAAGAAACTTAAAGTTTTATCGGGATGGGGGAGAAAGCATGCAAACAATGTACATATAATGATGTGTACAGGATAAGTTGCAGATAATCAGCAGAGAGAAGACACTAACATTAAGGTCCACTTCCTATCCCCATGATTATGCTAAATAAATAAATAATACTGCTGCTTTCCTTATGTGGTGACCAAGAAAAGGGAGGTAAATATCTGGTACAAGAGTTTTGACCAAATGGTGTTTATCAGTATTATCAATGTAAGCGTTTCCAGAAAAATCTTTCCCTCCTCCCTTGTATTCACTTCTATTAAGATGATCCATAGAAGGAATTTAGAATAACATCACTACATTTGCAGATAATGTTGCTCCTTAGGATATGGAGAGGGTTCTGAATGCTCAAAGTCTATACCAGAAGACCAAACTTCCTAGAAGTTTCCATAAAGCAGGAAAAACTGTGAGTGTGGAACTGTCATCCAAGGACCAGCCTAGGGTAAGTTCAAAGAGCCTCATTGCCAGAAAGTTAACCACCTAGTGATTGGGGTTGGGGGTGTCTAGGGCACATCATGAAAATGTCTACTAAGGCAAGAGATAGTGGGATATCCATTAAATCAAAAATCTTTTGAAGTTCCTAAGTATTGATCTAGCAAAGCTGCTAATACTCAGAAAGACAGGATAAATTCAAAATGTCTTGATAAAATAGTCATCATTTGGACTTTTAAATTATGATGTATTTCAAATAGATCAAGTAAGGGAGCTTTCATTAAGACAAAAATAAGGTATCAATTATTTATGACTTAGTAGATAGGTAGAAACGTGGAGGTTAATTAATTTGCCCAAAGTCATGCAGCTACTGTAATGATCCCTAAGGTGTGTTCTAGCTCTAAATTTATGACTCTGTAGTTATCAAAGGTAAGATTTGAACCCAGACCTTTTTTGGCTCCAAGTCCAATACTCCGTGCACCAGGCCATGTTGCCTTTCAAAGAAGTTGGAGAAAGATTGGCTAGCAGGAAAATGTCCACCCAGCACTAGGCTATAACAAAGAGACTTTGTGCAAGGAGCAGGAAAAAAATCTTTCCACTGAACTATGAATTAATCAATATTGTGGCCAGTTGAGGTAACAACACTTCAAAAGATATATGAAAGAGTGTCAAAAGAAAAACAACAGAATAATCAATGGAATAAAATATAGGTTTTAAATAAAAAGGTTGAAGGAATTAAATTTGTCAAGGGAAGAAAAGCGTGAGTCCTTCAAGTATTTGGAAGGTTTTTTAATGTAGAGACTATCGAGAATTTGCTTCCTGTATCTGAGTAAGATCAAACAAGAAAAACAAGTAAGTCGAATTTAAAACAGGACAGGCAAGGTTGATCTGTGTTCCATTCTCTTTCAGCTCCAAGAACTGGGATGTTTACTGGTTATGGGAAAGTACATTTTGGATAATAACAGTACTAATAACTCAAATGCAAATGTATAAAGAACTTTGAGGAGAAATTTCCCCACAGCTACTCAGAGAAAGGTTTTGCAAATATTCTTACCCCCATTTTTAAGGGGAGGAAATGAGGGCTCAGTGTGAATGTGAGTTTGATTGGACAAAGAATCTAAGCTTGTGGTTTTTAGTGTAGTAGAGAGGTATGGCACATGTACAAATAATTATTATACAAAATCCTTGAAATATGCAAGAAAAACAACAATAAGCAAACTATGTGCAATTCAAGGGGAAAAGGACAAAACTGAACATGACATCAGAATAGACTTCTTATAGGAAGTAACATTTGAGTTGGGCTTTAAAAGATGGGAAAAAATGTGGAGTTGGAACATTCCAGGCCTAGGAAGAAACTGGAGCAAAAATATGATATAGACCAGGATTGAATATATGTGTATGTGTGTGTGTGTGTATTTATATCTGTGTATGTATGTATATATATATATATATAGTGTGTGTGCATACATAATAATTTTGTTGCATTTTGTTCATTTCTGTCATATTCAACTTTTTGTGACCCAATTTGGGGTTTTCTTCACAAAGATACTGGAGTAGTTTATCATTTCTTTCTCTGGCTCATTTTACAGATGAGGAAACTGAGGCAAACAGGGTTAAGTAACTTCTCCAAGGTCACACAGCTAGTAAGTGTCTGAGGTCAGATTTGAGCTTGGGAAGATCATCTTCCTGATTCCAAGCCCAGTGCTCTATCCACTTTACCACCTAGCTGCCATGTGTATAATAATAGCTTCTTAATTTCTTCTTAAGAAACAATTTAATAATAGCTAACATTTATATAGCACTTTGAAGTTGTGTAGATGTATGCATATATAGATACATATATAACCCATATATACATATACATGTGTATATAAATGTATACATATATACATCTATATGTACATAAATATTTATATATACATTTTAGTATATATACACATATACATGCACACATATACACAAATAAATATTTTTTGTGTTGATCTTAAGTATACATGAATATATGTGTGTGTGTATATGTGTATAATTT